ACAAATGAAGAATTCCTTTCGTCACTTCCACCAAATGATTGCCGCTATAGAACTGGATCTGATTGAGTGATGCCATCGATGCGATCGCCTTTCGGTCGACAGGGATGGCCGTCGAGGCGATGGCGCCGACACTCTGGTCGTCGGTCAACAACTCTGGTGTCGACTCTTTACTTGATGTGGACTTTACGGACGTCTGACGAGACATCACTTTGGGATCATTTGTTGAGTTAATGTATGACTCGATCGTAATGTCGTGTAATTGTCGACAACCCCTGTGTTTGGGTTGGCTTTGGGTTATCGTTGGCTGATCTTCACTGGACTCAGTCTTGTGGTCGTCGACAGCGTTCACCACTTGTGCCGCACAACTCGTTTCGGTCACCGATTTGTGGCTGAATTTTGACGCTATTTTGCGAATCAAATCACTATTTAATCATTGAATCAATCGTTTGAATGAATGGCCAAACCTTTGAACGATATATCAGTAGTAATGCTGTAATCGATGTGTAATTCAAGTCTCAACGCAACCAAAGACACAGACNCAACCAAAGACACAGACATTAGACGAGACTTGCATTCAAACTGTTGTTTACGACTAAATCAGTCATTCAATCGTTAATCGCATTCAAAGACAACACATAATAAACAGACGAAACAAACAATAACTCAATGTTTCGTACAAATGACCAAAAGATGGCATTATTTGTACCATAAGTTTGAAATTCTTTGCTTTTTACTGATTTCTTACAGAATATTCTTTACGATAACTGTTTTGGGATTGACTTATAAAATACCACAACGTGTTAATCATTACCAATATTTGGCCACAATTTGTAAACATAATTGAAATTTTAGTTTTTAATAATCTTATTGTAAAACATGTCTATTCTGTGTGTTCACTACTTTATTGTATAATTGTTGCTTATTTTTAGTAAATTGTTGTAATAATTAACTTATTTTCAGAATAAAGAGTTTCCTGAAAAACATAATTAACTAAATTATATTAAATTCACTAAATATACATATATTTACACTAACTTTTATAAACATAAACTTCTGATATATATGTATAGATATTATTTGTTTTGACATTTTACTGAATATGTATCCATAGAAATGATTCAATCGATTATTTTATTATTATAATTATTAGCAAAAATTGTTTGTTTAAGAATTTATATTTTGTTTAACAAAATTAAAACAAATAAATTATACAAATGAAAAGAATGGATAAAGAAATCGAGAAAATACCGACAAAACCCACAAATGATAACAATTCTGATGCAGAGGATGAGGACGAAGAGGAAAGGGTGGCCTTTGAAGGGTAATTGGTTTCTATTAAATAAAAGTAATTAATATAAATATTAATGTAATTATTGTTGAAATGAATGAATAGAGCATATGATCCGTCAGAATACGAGTCGTTGAACGTATCAAATGAGATGAAAAGCTTATTCAGTTATATAACACTATATTCGCCGCAAATGATTGAATTGGAGACTAAACTCATTCCTTTCATCCCTGACTTTATTCCTGCCGTCGGAGACATCGATGCCTTTATTAAAGTAATTATTTGAG